ATGCCTTAGTGTGCCCGTCTTTGGTTTATATAATTACCCAACACACTTGACATTAAATTACCTGCTCTTGACTGATTATTTTCCCATTGAGCCAAGTGCATCATCATACCAAAATCCAAAGTTCTGCATATTAAACGAACCAGAAACACCGCCAAAGAAGAACCAACAAAGAAGAGTTCAAAAAAAAGAGTCAAAAATAAGAGTTAACCACAAAAAAAGAACGCCCTCGAAGAGTTAACGGTAAATGCTGCATATGTGTTCTTTCGCCCCCCTCCCCATCCAACGACCTTTCTTTGGGAACCCTTTTTTTCGCTGCTCCCTTTCTTTGTTCCTTCTTCCACTTGAGTTTGCTTTGTTTTAACGGAAGCTGCTGCTGTTGTTGTTGTTTTTATGCTTTTTAATTTCCTTAACCATTTTTCTTTTGTGCTTTTTGTTCCACTTCTCGCTTTTCTCGCCCTTTTCGCCCCCCTGGCGAGTGCACTCCAATCGTCTTCGCTTCACTTGCTTTCGAAATATTAGGAAAATCTGGGGAAAAGGAAGTTACAAAGGTGGAAAAAAAAAATGGAGGAAATGTCAAGTTGAAAAAAAACAACAACAACAACAACAACAAACAAACATCTCATGTGACATATAAAAGATATCCACAGATTGGGGTAATTTCAAAGAATTATGTTTTGGTTGCATGTGTTTCCGAGAGAGTGTTCTGGAGTGTGCTTGCTTGTATAGCTTTTAATATGCGTATATTACTCTTGACTTAATTAACCGTTATTAAAATGAAATTGAGGGGAGCCGAAGGTTCTCCTCCAATTATATAATCATTTCGGTTTCCTTTCTTTTGTTTTGGGTTTCTTCTTCTTTGCTGCATCACGCAATGGGAAATTGTGTCATCGTTGCATTTCAATTAGGGTCGGGAAAGTGGGCTATATTTTTTGTAGAATCCTTTGGAATAATACTTATAATGTTGCAAATTTTATATTCCTTCAAAATAGTGCTATATTATTGACTATAAATAAGGTATAAATTAATTTTTTTATTTATAATTATTTATTATCTATATTTTCTAATTTTCTGTATCTGTATCTTTGAGATCTTGTATCTTTAAGATTGTATCTCCAAGCGCTAAGCTATAGAATCTAGTTACTTTTAGTTTCAAGTTATTCTCGATCGCCAATCTATGATCATTTCGAAAAAGCTTCGGCTTTAATATGCGTGGCGCCTATCAAAGCTTTGTAAAGTGCGTGCCGTAAAGCTTTGGCCTCCCTCTCTCTTCCTCTTTCTGCATTCGCCATTAGGCCTATGGGGCTATAGTTTTTTGTAGCTGCCATTTTTAGACTTCCTACTTTTGTTGTTGTTGGATTTGCAGTGGAGCTTTTTTTGTTGATTTCATGATTTTTGGCGTTCTTGTTGTTGTTTTTTTTCGGTTGGCTGGTAGTCTGATATTTATTGCGCGTGAATGTCATTTCTGAAGCAGGAAAAGCTTTACGCACTGCAAAGTTTGAGAGTGTGTGTGTTTGTGTGTGGTGGGAGAGCGATTTGTATGAATGTGTGTGCGTTTTTTTTTCGGGCATTTATTTGTTTGTGTGTGTGTGTATGAGTGCGTCTACGCACATTTTTAATTATGTTGTGCCAGCTCAAGGTTTTTTTCTATCGCTGCTGCTGCTGCTGCTGCTGCTATTTTATTTCGTAGTTTTATTTTTGTTGCTGTGCAGGCCCCCTCTCGCCGACACCTCCCCCCTCTCTCTCACCAATTTCAACGCTATCACCCCCTCTCCTGGCATTTTTTTTTCTGCTCCCTAGGCACTTTGAGCCAATTTAATTGTAGGCCACGCATTTATTTATGAACTCTGTAGATCTCTCCACATTTTGATGCCACTTTTTTTGCGCTGCGTTCGTCGAGCGAGAGAGGGAGAATGATAGAGAGAGATAGGGCGGCCGCCAGACTGCCCTCCTACATGGCCTGACAAGTGTATGTACATACATAGGCCTATGTGCTTGTGCCTTTGTTTGCCATTACATAGCCACTTCAACTATATGCTGTTTTTTTTTGCTGTGCTTTTTTGTAATTTTTTTTTCTAAATTTTTGTTGTGTTTTTTTTTTTGTTGCGCCCTTCTGCATGTGTCTGTGTAGCTTTATCGGGACTGAAATTATCAGCATTCGTTTTTTTTTTTGTTTCTGGGTAGTGATGTAATAGGCTTAGAATGAACAAAGTTCAGTGATTTTATGAGCTTGCAATTTTAAGAATTTTATTTCAATTAAATGAGATCATTTATTCTCTAAAAATCTACAGATTTCAAGAAAAAAAGCTTTGTGATTGCTAACTAATACATACATACATATTTCATAAATGTAGCTGCAAATATTGCATTCAAAAAGGAGAAAAAAACATAGAAAAACTATGTTTTCCAATATCCAATTTTTGTTGAAAACCAAACCATCTTCTGCAGACATTTCTCATCCATGTCATATAAGCCTTTTTTATGGCCCCACAAACGCAAACGCAAAACGCACTCACTGAAAAATGGCAATGGCAACCCTACACACACACACCCACTGTTCCATGCAGATAAACCTACAAAAAAAGCGCGCCATCAAGAGAGGAGTGGGAGAGAGAGAAAGATAGAAAATGTCCGCCCATGAAATGCGTTTTCTAGTCGGCAAACTATTGCGGCGGCCATCGCAAATATACACACCCACACACATACACATACAGAAGGCGATTGCATGCAAAAGTTTTGTGTGCGTGTGCATGTGCGTGTGTAGTTGTGTGGTTGTGTGGTGAAGTAGAGCAAAAGGCAACTGGCAATTAGCAACTGGGGAATGGCAGCAAAATAAAAAAAAAAAAGAAAAGCTAACAAAACTAGCGAAAAAATACGAATAGAGTTTGCCAAACCTCAATAGGGTTTGTAAATACAGCTGGGTCTAATATTATAGACCTCGTTTCTTGCAGTGGAAGTGTGTGGCCTTTTATAATTTATAAGAGAGATGCAAATAATTGAAAATATTCAAGATATGTTACTAAAAAAACTTTAAAAATATGTCATGAATCTAGACTTTTAATTAAAATATAAAAATACCTTTTAAAAATTAAGCAAATTTTAATTTTAATAAACCTTTTGCTAGAATATTTTATTTAGGGTATTATTTTTCTAATACCTTGGCCTTTAGTGTACTTGCATGTGTGTGTGTATGAGTCACTATCTCTTCCGATAGGCCTATGCGGTTGTACTTTTTTCGCATTTAGCTAACATTTAAGCGCCATGGAAACGCACAAAGAGGAACCAGAAGCCAGCAGCAGAAAAAAAAGAAAAGTTTGTCACTTTGACTGACACTGACAGGTTTTCAGACCAACGACCACACCCCCTGCCTAGACCACAGCCCCTATACCAAGCCTTATATATGTATATGGAGTCTTATACATAGCCCCGAAAACTTTGCTCTTTTTTTTTTTGTTTGATAAGCCTAATTAGCAGTTCATAAAAGCGATTATTTCATATGAATTTTTATGGTCAAGTCTCGTGTAAGTTTCTTTTTTTTTTTTTTTGAGGGTTTTTGGCTTAAGACTATTGCAGCCCTTGGCGGAAAAAAGTGCGTGTCTTGGCCTTAATGGCTCATAAAACTATAAAAAAACCTGATTTTATAACAAGTAAGCTTTTATAAGAGATATTTGCATACTATGTACATTTCCTTATTAGATCTTATAGTTACTAACTACTAGCTCTTAGTCTTGTCGGCCTTAAGAAAGACTTTCCAAATAAATGCATGTCGGGTCACTTTCTTGCAACGTTTCTGGGTAATCGTTGGCATTAAAATTCAGGCAACTGCAGTGGCAAGTCATAAAAACTTACAAAATTTCCAGACGAGAACTCGTAGATACTTTACGCAAGTGCCGACAAAAATAATGAAGAAGAAGAAGACGGTTGCATTGCGTCAGTTACAACACATTACAGAGCAGAAGAAGCCCAGCCAGTCTGTCTGCTTACATCAGTGGGAGCAAGCGAGAGGGGCTGAATTCTAAGAAAAAACTTTACGATTGTGCAAATGCACGTGAGAAAGTGGAAGAGAGAAGAAAGAGGGTGTTGCCCGTCTCACTTCCGACAAGTGAAAATGCAGCTGACATGAAACTTTGAAGAAACTAAAGACACAGAAAGAAAAACTATTGTTTTTTTAAACCCAAATTATTAAATAAAAGTATCTTTTTCCAAAACTATCTTTTTATAGTGTATCTTACAGATACTTTTTATCACAAAAATGCGTTCTGCCTGAAAAACCTCCAAGAAAAAATTTCTGTGCATTTTAATTAAATGCGGAAGACCCCCAGTTACAAAAACAAAAACAACAACAATAACAAAAACTACAATTTCAAGCGCACGCAATGGCATTACCAAGTGCGAGCGTGATGGGGGGAAGGAGGGGGGGCAAGCGGACAAACAGTACACCACCGAACAACGCACAAAATTTGGAACACGCTGCGCTGCTAAGTAGGTCAAAGTGGCAGCGGCGCCGGCAGCGCAGTCGGCTGCTAGTCAGAGCAGAGCTAGCAGGAAGGTGGTGGCGGTTGGGGCAAATAGGGTAATAATATTGCGTGTCAACTGCGACGCAGTTTTTGGGCTTAGATGAATCAACAACAACAACAACTACAATGGTAATAATGCTGCACAAGAAAAATAATATATATATATTTTTAATTTATGCACAACCCTAAACCCTAAAAAAAAGGGATGTAGGTACGTACACATGTAGAAATGTCAACTAAGCAACTTTTTGCTTTTCTTCACGCATTCCCTTTATTAATATGCAACGCCAAAAGTTGAGTGTCATAAATCATACGCCAAGTGCGTAGGCAATTTTTTTCCTCCATTTCTTTATATTTTTTTGCATAAATTATAAATGTAATTATGGGCCCAGTAATTGTTTGCAAATGTTTGTGGACACTTTCTAAAGCAACATTTCATTCATATTTTTTTGTGCAGGGAAAGAAAAACTTATATTAAAATCTCACCTTAATATCCAATTGCAAATTTTCGGGTTTAATCCAAGTCCAGAATCATTCAAGTTCTAAACACTTTTCACAAAAGTTTAATTTTGAATTTTTAACACTGCACTTGGGCCAAAATGTTTTTGTTTTTAGTTTTAGTTACTAATTATTTAAGTAAGACTCAAAAATTGTTTACCAAATATTTTTTTCCGATATAATTTGTAAGCATAGATACATATTTTGTATAGATTATATTATTATAATATTTTATTATGTTTATTACGATTTGTATTTGTATTATGTCTGTTAAATATTTGATGCTTTTGATTTTTTTTTTATTTTCGAAACGAAATTTTTATGCAAACTAACACACACGTTTTTTGCTGCTGCTGCTGCTGGCTGATGCTGATGCGGTTGCTCTTACTGTAGTGATTACTGTAGTTACTGTAGTAGTCGGCTCAGTTGCTATGGCTGTTGATGTTGTTGTTGCTGCTGTGTTACTGTGTTGTATAGTATTGCGTATGTCCGAACCAATAATTTTGAATATTTGACCAATTTAGTTTGTTGGCTTAAATTTTTGCGGTTTTTTGCGTTTGTTCTAAAAAGATTTCCCCTGGATTTTCAACTGGATTTTGGATTGAGCTTCTGAGGGTTTTCTGGTTTAATTTCAATCTTTGACTTTAAGTTGATTTCAAAAAGTTACATTTGATATATTTTAGTTGCAAAACATTTTCACGTGTGGACGTTTTTAAGATAATTTATACTTTTTTTGTTTCGTTATATATATTTATATTTTTTTAATGCTTTCTTTCACCACGCAGCTTGCCAAAAATCGTTTTTTTTTTATGTTCTGTGGATTAATTTTTGTTGAATTATTTTTAGACCAAAAATGATGTTGCCAATTTGAAAATTTTGCGGTTGATTTTCGGTAGTTTTTTTTTAGTTTTCAGTTCATTTTAATATTAAATATTTATAATTTTCAAAAAATTATTTTTTTAATTTAAATGGTTAAATGTTCAAAATTAGTTGCTTGATTTGCATTTTGTTGCATTCGCCAGAGTATCTGTCGCTGAATGTTTATCTTTTTGTTGAAATTTGAATTGTGATTAGTTTGTAGATGCATTTTCACAGTGACATTTGGCTGGAAATAGAGAATTGTTAGATTACTTTATTCATATCTCATAAATAATACATGATTTACTCTGTTTAATGTACCAAAAAGTTAATATTTATTTACCAGAAGCGATTGGGGAATTTAAATAAAAGAAATACTAATATGTATAGCAGAAATATTACTCTAGGGAAATATTCACTTTACTTATACATTTTTTAATAATATGGTTTTCACATCTTGTTTTTCCAATTGGAAATTTTTATCTATGGGTCTGTTTTTCCCATTGGGCTTCTGGTAAATGTCATTTTTGGCTTCATAAACTATAACATTTTGGGGTGGAGAATAATATTATTTCTCAGTTTTGGAGTTAGAAAGTCACTATTTTTGAAAGATATTTTTTCACACTTTTAAATTAAAAGCTCTATATTATTTTTAAGTGTTCTGGTTGGGTTTTTTTTAGCTTTTTTCTCCTTAGAACAAGTGTCCTGGCTTAATTGCATTTTTTCTTGATGCACTTCTTGCACTTTGCCTCGCACTCTCTAGTCCTTTTTACTTCCTTTCACACTCTCTAACACAGACACACACACTCAAACACACGAGGATGTAGCAGTGGCAGTGGCACATAGTGCAAAAAAGGGGTTCACCAATTCACTGGGATTGCGCCTTGTTTATTTTCAGGGGGGGGCTAGGCGGATCAACGGGGAGGGTTGTTTATTGTTCCATGGTTCTTGTTGTTTTTGTTATTGGTGATGTTGCTTGTGTTGTTGCTGTTTCTATTGTTGTTGCTTGATTAAAAATGCAGACGTTTTCGTTATGCATAAAAGTTTTTGCTTCACTTTTTCCCCGATCCAGTTTTTTCTTTGAATCTGGAAGTTCTAAACGCACACACACCCCAATCCATAGAATACACACACACACGCACAATTTTTTGTTGCATTAATGTTAGTGAGTTGCAATTGTAGGACGAGTCCTTTTTCTATTCTCGAATATTATTTGGATATTTTTTTAAAATTTTTTAAATCACTTTATTTTTCCAACTGGAAATTACCTTTAATCACTTGTCGGAAAAATCACTTTCACAATTTTCGCATTTGCTTCCCGAACACAAACAAAAGTGAAATAATAAATTAAAGTTTTTTAATGCCGCAAAATCTTCTGCTGTTGTTGCATCAAATGCACATTTCCACACGACAATATATATATATATATGTATATGTATATATAGACGAAAATACGAATATGGTATAAAAGTGCGGCTGTTTTAGATATTTCAAAAACAGTGATTTGTATTGTTTTCGAAAATGTTGCAATTTAACGTTCAGTTTCTGCGGCAGTACTTGTGCTGCGCTGCTGCTCCGAGAGACGACAAAATGCACACGCGCTCGAGCTGCGAGCACCACCGAAACCTAGGACCGAATAGACCGTAGTTTCTATGTTTTGCGACGGCGAGCCTTTCCGTCCGGAGATTTTTTCGACAGTGGGAACACGACGCGAGCGAACAGTGTTCAGCGGGCCTGATTAAGCATCCGCCATGGATTGCATGGGCCCTCTCTCGCGTTCTCTTTGCTGCCTCTGCCTCTGCTAGCGTCGACTGCGCTATTGTGGCGTTCTCAAAACCAGCTCTTCCAGCGAATCCATGCAGCCGGCGGGCCACTTCGGCAGCGACGCGACAGAGCCAAACAATAGCAGACTGAGAGTAAAAACGCAGTAAAGCGCAGGCAAGAGCTTCTCTCACAAACAGTGGGCTAAAAATATTAAAATAGGGCTAATACTAAAAGCAGGTTATGTTTTTAATATTAATAGATTTTTTATAAGTCAGAAAAATACTGTTAACTAGTGAAAAGCTTATATTTTACTCTTTAAACATTAATTTTAATTTATTTTAAGTTTAAATATAGTTATACAATAAATTTTATCTTATGATAAGAAATACTTATTCTTTTATTTTCTAATATTTTTCCTTTAAATATTAACAAAACAATTAATTTTGCCTCACTGTTCGTGGGAGCTGCGCTGGCGTCGCAGTCACTGTGTGTGCTTTTTCGCCAACATTGGGGCTGCTCATGTTGTTTTTGTTTTTGTTTTTGGCGCTGAGTGCGCCCATTTTGCATTGGCCCAAAATCGCCCCCGCCGCAGTGTTTGCAAGTGTGTGCGTGTGCTTTTGTTTTTGATTTTGCTTCTCAGCAGCTGGGTCTGCCTGGGCTCTCTCGCAACCACTTTCTGCTATTAATCCAATTGGAATGCAGGCGAGAGAGACTTGCAATGGTCAGATTGGATCCAATAAGGACGAATTTTAACAGAAAGGATAATAAATGGTATAATATTTAAAGAAATTAACAAAAATCTTAAAAGAAGCATTATTTTGAATAATGCTCCTAAGAACAATTCCTGGATGCATTTAATTTTTGCATATCTTTTTCTGTGTGTATGCACTGCCGCCCCAGGATAAGAGTTATCCTTCCCGGGGGTGAGTTTATCTACCTTTCCTTGCTCTTTCTCTCTCTATCATGCTGCTCTTGCACCTACCCCTCTGAGGCTCATGCAGGCGAAATTGCATAAGCCAAAAGGACATGAGGTAATTATGGGTCCTCCGTTCAAGTGGAAAATGTTTAGGGAAATCTAGTCCATAAATAGCGAACGTAAACTTGGTCTTAACCTATTCGCCCAGCAGGAGATTCCCGGCCAGGTGGTCCAAATGCGGTAATACTACATAGATGCAATAAGAAAGGGTTTCTCCTTAAGCGGATTTAATAATAGAAAAAATTATTCAAGTATTTCCTAGATACAGGCAATTGAACGAGTTAAGTTTAAGACTTCAAGGGTTTCAAGACCTTAAGTACTTCCTTCCCTAAAACTGGAATTTTAAAAAATTTTATAGTTTTATGGTATTTAAGAAAACAATGCAGTTATAATTTTCTTTCAAATGAAAACCTAATTTGCATATTTGAAATCCCAACGAAAAACCCTCAAAATTCTGCCCCATTTTAACCCAAAATCTCTTTCCTATTCCCACAAGTGTCATTATCCCTTCTTTGAATGCAATTCTTTCAAAATAAAAAAACCTAAAATATCAAATTCCAGAACCATCGAAACAATTAAAACGTAATTTCAACGCAGAAATTGTAAAAAAAAAAAAAATTAATAAATACAATTCATTTATTTCGATTAATTAAAAGTTGATTCTTAACTCGCGGGGCAAAGACACAAAATTCTCTCGCAAAGTAAAACCAATTTCAAAGACAGAGCATAAATAAAAAAAAAACTGACCCTGTTGAAAAATACTCGTTTTCTCCTGCAAAAATAGAAAACCGTGGAATCCTGAACACAACAATAACAATGCCGCCAAGCTTTCGCGGCGGCAGAACTTCCCCAGCTTCAAAGAATGGAGAGCGCATGACGCTCTCCCTTTCGCTCTGCCGCTCTCTCTGAGAGCAGTAAGTACTGCTGCTGCTGCTACTGCTGCCATTTTATGCACACAATGACAATGAAAGCTTATGGGCGAATGGCAGGGTGTGGAGGGGGGTGGAGCCCCGACCAAAAATTTACGCAACTCAAGAAACACGTGGAGCGGCGACAGCGCAGCCGGCGTTGCCGCTCTTATGCTTTGGAAATCCAATAAGCACGAGCTTTTTCCCGCACACCAATGCAGCTCTCTTATATGCCGCCGTGTGCATACCACATGCGTCTGTGTGTGTGTGGGTGAATTGCGTATTTTTGGCAGCATACAATGGCCGCTCTGCCAACGCCTGCGCTGGCAGCGACGCATATCGCAGGGACGGATTCCGATTGCAGGGCAATTAATATCGACATTGATTGCGGCGAGTTCTCGGCCCTGGGCGGCTATTATATTAATTACCGAAATGAAATTCTTATGAGAAGTTCTGGGCCACAGAGGGAAATACATATTCTGTGTATCGAATTTGATATATTTTGAAAATAGAGAACAGAGTTATTGGTAATTTATGGCCCCCACTTGAAAAAAACGTCAATATCAGAGGTTTTGAAACTATAAAATTAATAATATTATGAACATAGAGATTAAACTTAGGGTAGTTTTTATAAAAGCTAAAAAAAAACAATGAAAAGCCAAAAATTTAAAGAAATTTTATAGCAATATAAGTTTTAGATCTATTATTATTTAATAAAGTGTTTTAAATATGATGTTTGACCTTAAAAACTCTCTTAAAAATGTCACTAAGATTGTTCCCTAATAAAATATCATTTGGCTGACCACTGTATCCGGTATATGAAACCCTTCCAGTTTCCGCAAATCCACTGCATTCTTGTTTTTAGACCATCCGCCCCACCACCCACTATATTGGAAACCGCCCACCCCCAAATCCACCCCTGAGCATCCGCCTTGCTGTGTTGCTTCTTCTCTCTCGCTTTTGCTTTTGCAGTGCTGCACGCACTTTTTGGACCCCAACCCCACCTCTCTATGCTTTTTGCTTAGCTACACACTTTTTTGTTGTGGGTGGTGGATGGGTGGTGCTCAACAGAAGGGGGACTTCACATGGGTGTGGGTGGTTGTGCGTTATATGCTCCACTTTTTGGGCTTTCGAACGCACTTTTGCAGCTTGCGTTTGTATATTTGTATATGTACTGGGCTTACTGTATATGTATGTATGTGTTCGGGTGTTTGTGTGGGGCGCGTGCGTTTGTATTGGTTTTTGTGCGTCTATGTGTTTGTATTGGTGTGCGCGCATTTTTGGGTGTGCGTTTTTTGGTATTTCGTGAAATTTTAGCATTTATTTGTTATGTACTCGAAACTGACGTCGCTGCAGAGCGGCGCTGTTGCTGCGCTGCTGCCTCTTCGGCCTCTTCGTTTTTTGGGGTTTTGTGCGTAGGCTCGCCTATGTACACTATTTGGCAATTACATTCGTCTATATACTATATATACACTTGCACATCTATACATAGAGGGTATAGTAAACGTTTGTATGCGTCGGTTTGTTTGCCTATTTTGTACATAAATATGTTTGTTTGTTTGTGCTTTTCGCTTTCGGTTATGGGGCGTTTGGGGCAATATGCGCCACCAAAAAAAAAAAAAAAACTCAGTTTTATGTGTGTATACTGCATTTTTATGCTTTTGGCGGAGAATATTATTTTTATTTAAGGACAAAGGGCTTGCATAGGCAAGAATATCTTTCACAAACAAAAGGGCTATAACAACGATTATTTCCGGAATAATACTAATACGCCCTGTAGGCCTGAAATAAACTATATTTTGATGAATAGTTTAAGTTGTATATTTTTCTTCCATTTTCATCATAAATATTATATATTTTTAATATCTGAATTGACATTTTGGCTTGCGCTGCCGGTCCCCATTCTCTCAAAAAATAAACAAACACTTGAACGCAAAACACATTCGCTTCGGATTTCACGGACATCCCACCCACTTCAACCCCAGCCCCAATTATAGCCCCCTTCCCCCGATATCAGTGCTGTTGCAGATAAGATGATATCATTTATTTTTGTAGCAATGCCAGCACATTTAATTCTGGGGGTATGGTGGTGTATTTTTTTGTGTTTTTCATTTTTTTATGAGGAGATGTGGTGGTTACTCAATATTTTGAGCAATAATCCATATAGATTTTAAATCACTATTAATATTTAAAAGTCCTGCTACAAAAATGCAACTGTTTCCTGTACAAAATCCTATTTAAATAATTTTACGACGCAATGACATGAAAATAAAGTCCCGCACATGGAAAAATATTGCGTATTTCAGCTTGTGCCACTCATTGAATCCTCTTATTCATTCAAAAGTAAGGCGAAAATAAGCGGAGTCGCAACAACAATGCCCCGCCAAGGAAGACAGACAACAAAAGATAAAAAAAAGGGTTTCAAGGACATTTTACACATAATTTTTACTACCTTACAAGAGGGCAGAGGACAGAGGGCAACGTAAAGGGGGAAAAGCAGCCGCAAAAAGGAAACCCCCGGCTAATGTAATAATTTTTGCGCCTTGCCTTTTGTGAGGGGAACTCCTGTTGCTCGTCTCTTGATTTGGGACTGAGTTGAATGCTCTATTACCCACAATGAGCAAGGACGAAATAGTCCACAAAAAAAAATCCCTCCCCTTTTTTTATGGAATGGAATCTGGGGCAGGGGCAGGTTGGAAGGCAAAGTTCTAGGACGACGACATTGATTGCCTTTTCACCTTACGTTTATTATCAAGGTTTCTTAGAGTCCTGTTTTTTTTTTATTTTAGGCATTTGTTTACCTTACGGACTCCACCAATCGATTATGATGTTTAGGTGAATGAACTCAAGTGGGTTGTCGGGAAAGTAATTTGCATATGGGGGTTCTCAAGGAATTAGTTAACAAATTACAGGCTAAATAAAGAATTTAAATCTATGGTAGTATGTTCAAAAGAACTCACAATATGGTCAAAATTTGGCTAGAGAGGCCTATGTGAATTAGAGCAAACAGCGGGTGATGTATCTGAAGGGCAGTTGGGGTTTAATGTAACGAGAGATAGAGCGGGATGGAAATTGGGTCACGCACGCATGTTGTCGCTGCAGCTACGCACACACAGATACTCTCCAGTCAGATGAAAAGATACGTAGATACATATCATCAGCCGGCAATGTCAAACCACTGAACTATGCAATTTTAAATGCTATGAATTAATTATAACAAATAATATTTTATTACAAATTTAATCTCTATTTGTTTATCGCTATAAGAACCTTAAGATT